GGTATGTGCAACACATGGAGTGTATGAACAAGTTTAAGAAAGATTACTTGAGGAAATGCGTTAAGTTGTTTAAATGCATTTCGGCAATAGATAAGGCCATGACACATATAAGGAATACTATGGCGAATGAAGATTTTGAGCCAAAACAGTAAAAGGAAGTGCTTACAACAACATTGAAAATTCTTGAGCAACATGGTTCCCAAATTTACACTCATAGGTTCTTTTTATTGGTACATAATGAGATCAATGCTTAGTCAGGGCTTATTCATGAAAAAAAAACATTAATAATTTTGGAGGACAGTTGTATATTTTACCCAAATACGGAGAACCGCAAAGTAATTGGAGTTGTGTATGCCTTGGTAGGGAAGATGTTCGAATAGAGTGCGTCAAATATAAAAGTGAAGGCATTCCATGTTTCCACTTGTATTATGGGATGAAGTGGGAGCATGTTATGGAAACTCCCTCGTCACTCATAATGAAGCGATGGACAAAGAGTGCCTGAATGGACATTAGATACGCATTTATGTCACAAAGTGGTAGCAAGAAGGTTGTAGAAACTGCAAGATATGGAAGTTTAAGTTGTATGGCTAACAAAATGTGTTTGTATGCATCAAATAGTAGAAATGGGTATGGGATTTTGAAGAATGAACTCATTCAATTGGAGGGAATAGTTGAAGGTTTATGGCAGAAAGAATATGAGATGAGGCTTAAATTGGGTAGTCGTTGGCAATTTCCTACAAATATTATGAAAGATCCAACCCTAGTTAGCACAAAAGACACCCAAAGACAAGCTAGTGGAACACGCAAGTACCACAACGCATGTTGTGTTGCAAAAATAGACACACAAAACGTAATTGCTCTCAAAGAAACATCTATCCAAATGGAAATGAAGTCGTGAATTTGCCTTCTGGTAGTCAAAGCTATGTTCGAATCCCACATTTCCTATATCACTTATGCTAAAAACAAAATAAACAAGAAGGGTGGAGAATTAGAAATTGGTAATGATTAGAGAGCACAATTTTATAACTACAGATATCAGACCAGCCATTACAAATTAGAAATTGTGTTTTGTTTGTACTGTTGGGTATCTTTTCATCAGTATTATGATTATTTTTGTAGATAATTTCTTTGTTAGTTTCCAGTTGATGAAATGGGAGAACCTCAAATAGGCGATCGGGCCATATCAAATCCTGTGATTGAACTGGAATGGGATGAATTTTGGCCACTTTTTGGGAAACCCTTTGTTGATGTGGTTCTCACAAAAACAACTATCAAACCCCTGTACCAACTGGTAAATTATCCCCTAATTTTGCATGTTTAAATGGTGGTGAGACTTCCTCTTATGTCTACTTCTTAAATATTTGGGCCAGTCTACATGATCATAGTTGCCAATTTTGATTACATAAATCAAATAATCTATTTGGCAATTTACACATACTTCTTAGTTTTAAATAAAAGGTTGCCTTGTTGAAGCGAAAAATAATCTGGCTATTCCTTAAATTTTCTTTTTCTTTGCAATTATAGGAAATAATGTTGTGCATTTCTAATTCTCTAATTTAGGTTATCATTTTCTTCGCTTTAATCAGTATAATTCATTGAAATAATCATTTGTTTGAGCAGGTGGTCCCAGGCAAACTTAATGCAACACTACCTTCCTGTTCAACCCCTACGATTCTCACATTTTCGGGCAATAATTGAGAGATGATATATCATTGATCATCCAGTCATAAAAGGCTTGATAACTGGAGAGCATTTGCCATTGACAACAATTTGAAAGTTGGAGATGCATGTGTGTTTGAACAACTGGAGTGCAACAATACTAGGCTAGTATTCAGAGTCCAAATTCTCAGAGGTGAAATCCCATCTGAATTTCTAGATAAGCTAGATGGTGATAGTATAGATGCACCAGTTGTTCTCGAATAATATATGTCGTATTGCCTTTTACTAGATGTTGTCAATTTCTCAAATGAGATTACTTTCTGGAGCTAATATGATTTGAATTTTATGGTGTCATTTGACACGATACTTTAGTAACATGGGTATCTGTTATTGCTCGGATACCTTTAAAGAACGTAATTTAGTAGCAAACTTTCTAACATTTGTCTTAAATGATTTTGTACCATTCAATTGACATGCTGCTCAAAATGCATCAAATAACCTGATGAAAAATTTATGAAAGTCTCATAATCTACTGTCTGTTTTCTGATGAGTGGGATTTAAAGCAAAAAACCTGAAAAATATAGAGACTTTAGTTACCTGTTTGTCTGTGCTAAGATGTGGGAGCCAATGAGCAAGTGAGTGAGAGAGATAGAGATAGAGGGTTATAGTGGTAAGGATAAGTCAAGTACATTTGCAAAACACAATAAGGAAGGATGATATGGCAGAGTACAATAATATGCAAGATATATGTCATTCAGTCCAATATACATAACTCAAATCCCAAATTTCTTCACAAATGTGTTAGTTTCATAATTCTTGACAAGAGCAAATAAGTATAGTAAAGTTATCTCTTGAGGTTTGAATATGTTATGTTATTCTAGTATCTTCATATCTAAGTAAATTCTATTTAAGCATCCCAATAGCATCAGAAATGCAAAATCATGTCCAAACTCCACTCTATATAAAAGATAGAAATTTAACTGACAATCATTTCACCATACCTTTATTAATAAAAATTCAAATAAACAAAGGAGCCAAATCAAATATACATTACCATGTCCAAATTAATAAATTTCCTAGTGAGCCTGATGATCTGCACCTATTTCACCTGCACATATCTACAAGGAAATAAACTAAATTAATAGGTTTACATTTACCCATTTGCCCATTGTCTACTCTAAGACTTGGAAATCATTAAAGGGGTAGTGCAATAAAATGAAGTTAAACTCCCGATTGAATCTCTTCCTCCACATATCTTAACAACACATCTTCTTTGCAAGTTTCATATTTAAATGATGAACCAAACTTACATGTGATTCGATCAATGACAACATATAAAAATATAAGTATAATATAAGTCATGAAATCAACAAGCTATAAGTTATAACTGTAACTAGTATGGTATAAGGCTTGTTTCAGTAAATCAAAATTGTGAGAGAGGACGCATTTCCAATAAGTAAGTGCACTCAAGTCCTATTTAGTCTTATTCAAGCCTTTGCACTTGAAGTCCTAGTACAAATTTTTTTCTTTTTCTTTTCCTTTTCTAAAAGGATGTTTGTATAGCGGCTTTCACACTATAAGGGCGGTAGCCCTCTCCATTGGAAGTTAAGTGCGCACCTACTCTAATAGTAGCTTTCACATAATACCTAATGGGTAGTCATCTCCATGTTTATTAAAATGGTGTACTAGCTTCACAATGTAGGAAACCGTTAGTGTGGTAACTTTCACTTTATTAGTGTGGTAGCCATCTCTATTGGAAGTGAAGCATATACACCTACCTACCTCAACATTAGCTTTCACTCAACCTTAATAGGTAGCCTTCTAATTTATTGTGCATACCTATTTTCACACCATTAGAGTGGTAGCCCTCTCTATTAGAGATTTAAGTGTGTACCCACCTCCATGGCAGCTTCACATGTCCCTTACATGCATCCATCTCTATACATAAACCTTATTTAAAACGTAACATTAGTGGTCAATCTAGAATCATTATTTTACAAGTGTTGGAAGGGTTTAAAGTCTTTTACAAGTAAGTATAAATAATATACGTATAATATGAGTCATGAAATCAACAAGCTATAAGTTATAACTGTAACTAGTATGGTATAGGGCTTGTTTCAGTCAATGAAAATTGTGAGAGGGGACACATTTCCAATAAATAAGTACACTCAAGTCCTATTTAGTCTTATTCAAGCATCTACACTTGAAGTCCCAATATAAAGTTTTTTTTTTTTTTCCATTTATGAAAGGATGTTTGTATAGTGGCTTTCACACTATAAGGGCGGTAGCCCTCTCCATTGGAAGTTAAGTGCGCACCTACTCTAATAGTAGCTTTCACACAATCCCCAATGGGTAGCCCTCTCCATGTTTACTAAAATGGTATACTAGCTTCACAATGTAGAAAACCGTTAATGTGGTAGCTTTCACTCAACCTTAATAGGTAGCCTTCTCCTAATTTATTGTGCATACTTATTTTCACACCATTAGGGTGGTAGCCCTTTGTATTAGAGATTAAGTGTGTACCCAGCTCCATGGCAGTTTCACACGTCCCCTACATGCAACCATCTCTATACATAAACCTTATTTAAAACGTAACATTAGTGGTCAATCTAGAGTCATAATTTTGCAAGTGTTGGAAGGGTTTAGAGTCTTTGTTGTTTGGATGCACAAGCTCATTACTAAAGTAGTTCTTAAGCTCGTTGATTCCAAGTGTTTAATGGAATTTTTGTAATGTTGTTAGAGACCTTAAGAAATAAATTTATAAAAAAAACTAACAAACTATGTCCAACCAACCATGAGTAGAAACATCAACACAAAAAAGAAACAAGAAACACATAAAAACTCATATGCCAGTGCTAAACACAGAAAAACAATGCTCAAGAACTGTCCACTTTCCCCCCAAACTGAGCATACGACGAAGTTCCTTCGTCGCACACTTAGTACTGGACTCAATATTGAGCATACGACATAGAGTCTTGGTCACATCACCCTTGGTCCTAAGCCCAGCCGAAGATGTCGACTCCACCGCCACAACATGCATAAGTCTCGCATAAGATCGTGGAGATGACAAGTCTTGATCTTCTTACTCAAACCATGTTTTCCAACTTGAACCATGCACCTCCCCACTAACTCACTTAAGCACATATATGATACAGCTTTCATTACTTCCACTGATGTAGATGATATAAAACCTTCTGCCATCCATAGTTTAGTCAATGTACTCACCGGTTTTTCATAATCTTCCGGAAAATGGGCTAAGTAGAGAAAACATAGTTTTAAGTAATAAGGTAAGTTATCATAACTCAATTCCAATAACCATGATACCCCTTCATATCCTTCACCTTTGTAATCGGGCCCAAGGTCTGTGCCTCTCCTTATATATGCATAAACATTCTTATGCACCGTATTCCACTCATCAACTGTATCTTTTCTAGCTAGAAGTCATGCAAGCACCGTGATGGCTAGTGGCAAACCTTTGCAATGTTGAAGCATCTTTGTTCCTAGCTCTTTCTTATGTTCATAAATTTTATGGTCTGAGAAACAATATTAAGATCAGATACATGTGTTCAGTTGACGAAAAGTATACAAAACAAATTATCCCATAAGTTTATGAAGTGACTTCTTTGTTGCGAGTAGTGAGTAAAGTTCGACTCTCAGTTTCCTCATTCATTGGAAATCCAACTTGCAACGAGCTCCGCGCATGACTGGTCCAAATGTCATCAAGCACCACCAAACATTTCCTCTCTCTTTGCGTATTCCAAAGCCTCTCTGCTATTTGATCAGTCTTTAGTTTTGCAATTTCTTCTCTTTGGTAATTGGTAGGAAAATGAGTTTAGTCAGAATTTCTTTCAAAACTTCCCATGCTTGGCATTGTTGAGAGATACACACCTAAGCAAAACAATCAAAATGACGCTTTTTGGAAAGAGGAGACAAACAATTACTTCTTTTTCCCTTTAAATAATAAAATAAGAAAAGATAAAAACAAAATTTAGCATACCATTTATCCCGGACGGTTTGGTAAAATAGTTGTTATAATAACACACTGCACATGTTGGATTTTGTAAAAATCCTCTCCTCCTTCCCCAGGCCGGCAACATAATTTAGGACGCATCCCTCTGATGGTTAATTTCTTGAGGGTAGTAATATATTGGAGCCCATCTGGAACTGCCTCAAATTCTAAGCAAAACGCAATGTGCAATCTGCAGAGACTAAGCATGGCTCCTTTCTCCACCTTCCATTCTTTTAACTCCCTCAAGGGGGTAAGAGAAAGAAATTCAAGAAATGGAAAGCCACTTTTTCAGCAAATAAGAGGTCCCCGAAAAGTCACAAGCATATTCCAATTATCAAGGAAAAGCATTCTCAAGCTTGACAGCTTCTCTAATACTTTTATGTGGTCGTCCTTGAGATTTCCAAATCCACTCAGTGTAAGCTTTGTGAGGTTTGTAAGTCACAGGAGGTCTTCTCTGGTAACTTTGTGATATGTCCGAATAGTCGTAGCTTGTATATATTAGGACATCTTAATACCATGTTCCATGGTATTGGTACACCCTTAAAACCAGAAACCATCGATAGAGACTTAAGATGCTTAAATATGATGTTTGTCCCTTTCTCCTTTTTTTTCCCCTCCGTCAAATGTGATAACTCCCAATTTTCTAAGGTTGGTTAGTTTAACAAAATCATCTAGATTAGATGATGCCTGAATACCAATATTGACTATCGTATGCAAATTCACTGCCTCAGTTGCAAATAACAAACATTTCTCTCTTGCACTCTGATATTCGGGTAAATATATATGTCTCAATTTTTCCATCTTGGAAAACACATTTCGATTTGGAATTTTCATCCTCAAATTTCTGTTATGTAAATCTTGAGTCTACAAACATACCAAATTTGCTATAGATGAAGGCACCGCTAGAATATTACTATCCTTTACACTTAAAAAGCTTAAGTGCACTAGATTCCCAATTTCACCCGGTAGCTTTCCAACATCCATACCTTCAAACTTCAAAACTCTAAGCAATCTGAAGTCCCTTAATAGTGACCGTAATACCTTTGAGTTCCAGTAGTAGTATGTTGAGACAAAATATAACAAAGACCTAACATGTCCATAATTTTCATCTCTCCCCGGACAATATACCTCAATCATTTTGATGGAAAGTCTTCAAACTCTATCGTTTGGTGTTTGCTTGATCTCCACAACTGTAGAATAATTAATAATATGGAGAGAGTTCTCCTCTTTTGCCTTTAACATGCATAAGTCTCGCATAAGATCGTGGAGATGACAAGTCTTGATCTTCTTACTCGAACCATGTTTTCCAACTTGAACCATGCACCTCCCTACTAACGCACTTAAGCACATATATGATACATCTTCCATTAATTCCACTGATGTCGATGATATAAAACCTTCTGCCATCCATAGTTTAGTCAATGTACACACCGGTTTTTCATAATCTTTCGGAAAATGGGCTAAGTAGAGAAAACATAGTTTTAAGTAACAAGGTAAGTTATCGTAACTCAATTCCAATAACCATGATACCCCTTCATATCCTCACCTTTGTAATCGAGCCCAAGGTCTATGCCTCTTCTTATATATGCATAAACATTCTTATGCACTGTATTCCACTCATCAACTGTATCTTTTCTAGCTAGAAGTCATGCAAGCACTGTGATGGCTAGTGGCAAACCTTTGCAATGTTGAAGCATCTTTGTTCCTAGCTCTTTCTTATGTTCATAAATTTTATGGTCTAAGAAACAATATTAAGATCAGATACATGTGTTCAATTGACGAAAAGTATACAAAACAAATTATCCCATAAGTTTCTTATTTTTCTTCGGGCTACAACTTTGATTTGTGTTGGTCCGTTATGTGGGCCCTAATTTATTTGGATATTAAGTGAGAGATTTGTTGTTAGGTACACGTTCTTTCTATCAAAGAAAAGTAATTTCTAGAGCATAGGTTTTGATTTGAGTATATTTTCTGAATATAAATATTGTAATAATACATATGTGTTGTGATAATAATACTGATATCTTCATATAGAGGCGTTTTGAATATTCTATAGTAGAATTTTCTTAGAGTGACAAAGAAAAAGTTAGTTGACACACTGAATTGATAAACGAGAAAAGTAGAGATAAAAGGTTTGTGTGAGAACATGCGTGTATCTTCTGTTCTAAATACTGCTATCTTCTCAAATAGTTCCCAGCTTTCATCATCATTCAACGACTGTGGTTCGAAGAGGAAACCATTTTTGTCTCTATACGAAGTGACTTCTTTGTTGCGAGTAGTGAGTAAAGTTCGACTCTCAGTTTCCTCATTCATTGGAAATCCAACTTGAAACGAGCTCCGCGCATGACTAGTCCAAATGTCATCAAGCACCACCAAACATTTCCTCTCTCTTTGCGTATTCCAAAGCCTCTCTGCTATTTGATCAGTCTTTAGTTTTGCAATTTCTTCTCTTTGGTAATTGGTAGGAAAATGAGTTTAGTCAGAATTTCTTTCAAAACTTCCCATGCTTGGCATTGTTGAGAGATACACACCTAAGCAAAACAATCAAAATGACGCTTTTTGGAAAGAGGAGACAAACAATTACTTCTTTTTCCCTTTAAATAATAAAATAAGAAAAGATAAAAACAAAATTTAGCATACCATTTATCCCGGACGGTTTGGTAAAATAGTTGTTATAATAACACACTGCACATGTTGGATTTTGTAAAAATCCTCTCCTCCTTCCCCAGGCCGGCAACATAATTTAGGACGCATCCCTCTGATGGTTAATTTCTTGAGGGTAGTAATATATTGAAGCCCATCTGGAACTGCCTCAAATTCTAAGCAAAATGCAATGTGCAATCTGCAGAGACTAAGCATGGCTCCTTTCTCCACCTTCCATTCTTTTAACTCCCTCAAGGGGGTAAGAGAAAGAAATTCAAGAAATGGAAAGCCACCATTTATTTGGATATTAAGTGAGAGATTTGTTGTTAGGTACACATTCTTTCTATCGAAGAAAAATAATTTCTAGAGCATAGGTTTTGATTTGAGTATATTTTCTGAATATAAATATTGTAATAATACATATGTGTTGTGATAATAAAACTAATATCTTCATGTAGAGGCGTTTTGAATATTCTATAGTAGAATTTTCTTAGAGTGACAAAGAAAAAGTTAGTTGACACACTAAATTGATAAACGAGAAAAGTAGAGATAAAAGGTTTGTGTGAGAACATACTTGTATCTTCCGTTCCAAACATTGATGTCTTCTCAAATAGTTCCCAGCTTTCATCATCATTCAATGACTGTGGTTCGAAGAGGAAACCATTTTTTTTTTGCATGCGAAGCGACTTCTTGTTGGGAGTAGTGAGTTAAATTTGACTCTTAGTTTCCTCATTCATTAGAAATCCAGCTTGCAAAAAGCTCCACGTATCACTGATCCAAATGTCATCAAGCACCACCAAACATTTCCTCTTTCTTTGCGTATTCCAAAGCCTCTCTGCTATTGGATTAATCTCCAGTTTTGTAGTTTCTTGTCTTTGCTCATTGGTAGGAGAAATGAGTTTAGTTAGAATTTCTTCCAAAATTTTCCTTGCTTGGCATTGTTGAGAGATACACACCTAGGCAAAGCAATCGAAATGACGCTTAACATCACCATGATGATAAACTTGTTTTGCAAGAGTGGTTTTACCCAACCCGCCCATCCCGCAAATAGAAACAAGTCGGAGGCCTTTTTCTTTGATCAAATGCGTAGCCAATATCTCTGTTCCAAGGGCTAAACCAACCACATGAGGGTCAACAATATGAGGATAAGCTATCCTCCATTCCTGTTGCCTCTTGAAAAAAGTGTCACCTCCACTCTCTCTTGTTTGGTGTAGGTTTAAACTTGGCAAAATCGAACTCAATTGTGAAATTTTGGTTGTAATTTTCTCAATTTCTGAGCCAATCTGATGAAGATTAACTCCTTTTATAAAGATGCCAGTACACCTTGTCAAAACATTTGGTTTCCTCTTGAGAACCACTTTTAAGAAAAAAGTTTCGATGACATCCTCAAGATCATAAGTAGCATCTCTAACACTTGCCACCCAAATATGTATTGCTTCATTTTGTCCTTGTCTTGCGTCTGCGTCTTTCAAGTAGCCTTGCATGATTTGTAGCTGGGTTTGTCCAATCTCAATCTCATAACCCACTCCATCCAAGAATTTCAATTCCTGAATGATAGGGCTGTTGAGCCCTTGAACCACTATTGAAACAACACCCTCGGCCATAGTAGCAGCTTTTCTTTTTTCTTTTGTTTTTTCAGATTGATAAAATAATCTTACCAATAGAGAAGTCTCAATTCCGTTCATATAGGAAGTAGCAGAAGTGCAGAAGTGCAAAAGTCAACCAAGTCTCCGCCTGTTGGTGAGTCCTTACTTAGTTAGGATTTTGGTTCCTTATTTAGTTAGAATTTTAATTACTTACCAATTATTATTTAGTCCTATTGTAATTTAGATATATTTCCTATTTTATTTAGGGTTAACACATCTTTGTACTTGTATAAATACCTTCATATTGGAGAAGAATATGAGCAAATATGAGCATATCTGAATATTTGCCCTACTTTGTTTGACATGGTATCAGAGACAGGTTCCTAACCTGTGATAACCTCTGCCAAATTGAGAGTTGTTGGCCCTCATCATTCCTAACCCATCATGGGTCTTCATCTTGTATAGTCACCATCTTTTGTTCATCCTCTCATATGTGTTTTAACCACACCTAGCCTTCACATGCTTCTTTGCTATTGTAACAAAATTTTTATTTTTCATCTTTGTATGCCAGATGGTCTTTCTTAATGTCTCAGCTTCTTATCTTTGAAACTTCATAACAAGTCTCTTTACTCCGTGAGCCTCGTCACCGCTCAGTGAGCCGTTGCTTTCCTCCATAAGCCTCGTCATTGCTCACGGAGCCATTGCTTTCCTCCACGAGCCTCGTTACCGCTCGCCGGGCCTTTCTTTTGACTGTTATGCCGGTCTCTGTCTTCTTCGGCTGCTCTCTTGAGTTGCCTTTCTGCTTCTTAGTTTGAGCACCTTATCTTTGTCTTTGTCTCTATTCATGATTTATTGGGTTTCCTCCCTTACTATTCTCCTTATATGAAGTTTTTTCTTCATGGGACAGCTGTATGCTACCACCTTCCTCTCTTGCATTTGTTTCTGCTACGAGACTGGCATGTTTGAGTCTCTTTACTATTATTTCAATTTCTCTTCTTCCAAATCTCGACCCTTTACCAATGTCGGATTTGATGGGGAGATAGATGCAACTTTATTTGGGTGCTGCAACTTTATTTTTTGGTGTTGCTTTCTCCAACTCTCGACTCTCATACATTGTCGGATTTGAGGGGGAGTGACACCGCTTCTCATCTATTACGCTGCAATTCAGCTACCTATCTGCCATGGCTGATTCTTCTACATCTGAGCATCAGTCAACTTCTGTTTCTTAAGTGCCACTTTTCTTATGGTTCCGACAACCCCTTCTGTTCAAGGAGAGAGGGGGAGTGAAGAGAAGTTGTCTTTGCGATAATGGAAGTATTTGTCATTGTTGTTGCTGCTGACTACTATGTCCTTTGCTGGTGCCAGTATAGTTGCTCATACCTGTTGGGTCTCTTGCTAGGGACAATGTTATTGCTCCTGCCTATTATGACTCTTGCTAGGGACAGTGTTGATTACTATTGATGATGCATGTTATGTCCCTGCCTTGTTGCTCTTACTGGTGCCAAATTACTGTTGTTAGTACCAGTATTGTTGCTCCTGCCTGTTATGATGCCAGTATTGTTGCTCATGCCTTTGTTGGTGTGTCTCCATTGTGGTCACACCCATTGACCTTGCCTTTGCTCTTGACTTTCTTTGCCTTACCTTACCTTATTTCTTTAAGGTTTTGCTTTACCTTGCCTTACCCTATTTTTTAAGGTTTGGTTTCTGCCATACCTATTGCCATGCTCACAGGGTTCCTGTGTTCTGCCTTATCTATTGTCGTGCTTACAGGGTTTCTGTATTCTGCCTTATCTACTGTCGTGCTCACAAGGTTTCTGTATTCTGCCTTACCTACTGTCGTGCACACATGGTGTTTGTGTTCTGTCTTATCTACTGTCGTGCTCACAAGGTTTCTGTGTTCTTCTATGTGCCCTATTTTTTAGGGTTTGCTCTTGTATTTCCACTGCGAACTTTGCTTTAGTTTGTCACCTGTTTCACTCATGATTGACGAAAAGACCTTCTCTATAATTGGTGCTTCTCAAGTATGGTGTTTTGTGACTCGCTTGTCAAGTTGGGTGTGCGAAATATCTTTGCCCCAACTTAAGGGAGAGTGTTGGTGAGTCCTCACTTAGTTAGGATTTTGGTTCCTCATTTAGTTAGAATTTTAGTTACTTACCAATTATTATTTAGTCCTATTGTAATAGAGATTTATTTCCTATTGTAATTTAGATATATTTCCTATTTTATTTAGGGTTAACACATCTTTGTACTTGTATAAATACTTTCATATTGGAGAAGAATATGAGCAAATATAAGTATATATGAATATTTGCCCTACTTCGTTTCACTCGCCCTACCCTGTCCCATAATTATTCTGATATTTCCACAATCAATGCCAGCTTTGAAAAGCATCCTATTCCAGCTTTGAAAAGTAGCAGAAGTGCTCACCTGAGGACCAAATTTTGAGGGACTATGAGTGCCAAACACGTCATCCATTGGATTAACTAAAATGATTCTGAAACAGGAGATAAAAAGGAAGAGGGAAGCAAAATGGGTTTTGTTGGACTTTTAAAGCTACTATATAAACACCGTTGGATTAATCCAACGGGTGAGATGTGTTTGGCTCTCAGAGTCCCTCAAAATTTGGTCCTCGGTCGAGCACTTCCGTTGAAAGTAGAGCTTAATCTCATACAATCACTTTTTGAGACAAAGCGACTATACATTATCTCACCATTCAAGCCTCATGCAAGTTGTACCATTTTATTCTGTAAAAAGAGACTATGCAGTTTGGTCGAAACTCTGTATTTTTTACCATTCGTTGCCCTACACTCCCACACTACACCACCCTGTAAATTTCTTCTTTGTGTCCCATCCTTTTCTATTTATTTGGAGAGATAATAGTTGACATGGTTTTCAATCTCGTTTTTTGTTTTTTTGTTTTTATTTTAATAAGTAGCTCAATAAATGAATGAAAAATAAATAAGTCTAGTCAATAAATTGTTTGGCAACCGTCAATATTGCTTCAGTTGCATGGTTCATGGGGAAGGAGGCTAGGAGATGGAAAATCAATTGCTTTCCCATGTTTGGTAAGTTCAGGCATGGGAAATGGTTGCCTAGAATATGGGGAAATAAGGGAAAAATGTAATCCTCCTCGTTTTCCCTTTTCATGGAAAACTATGGAAAAATGGGCCAACATTAATTGCATGTTTTTCATGACCATTTTGTCCCAATTAAGAATTTAAAATTACAATATATCATTAAAAGCATTCTATTTAATTTAATATAATATATGTATAATTGAAAAATTATACAAAATTTATTTTTCATTCCTACTCAAAACAAACATTAAAAAGTAAATAAAATGATATGTCCCGGTTACTTTCCAAGCATTATCTAACATGGGAAAAGAATCTTCAATTTCTCATTACTTGATAAATGACATGGGAAGTAATTTCCCCTCAAATTCATTCTGTAAACCAAATGAAATCTTGTCTAGTTTTTCTAAGTCACGAGTATGTCATTGATTGACAGTGACATAAAGAAAATAGTGATAGATGCAATATTTTTCCTTTGGGTTGTTTTTCTTGATTCTTGTTTCTTTTGTGGGTTTGATGATTTTCACATTTAAAGGTAAGAAATAGAAAATAAAAGAGAGCTCATTTTCCCACTCTTCTTGAATGTCTAGCTAGAAGTCATGCCAACTTCATCGCAATTCTTACTCGATTATGCTCAATTATTTATTAAATAATAACCTGGTCCCAATTTTTATTTGGGAATGGGAAATTCCAATTCGGGATTCAGCTATTAGCGTAAATGCTCTTAAATGTTCAGAGCTGCAAGACCCAGTAAAAAATAAATAGTTGTTCATTGGAGTAATGCAATTTGTTTTCTTTCAGCTTTGTGTTTTGTGTTGGTAAATTAATTTTGTGCATGTGTACAAAAAAAAAAGATGAAAGGAATTTGTATGAGCATCATGTGTAAATTAGAGAGATTAACTATCATGTTTAAAATAAAGGGGAGGTTTATGACAGCATGCAATAGAAATAGTATGTTATTATAAATCAGTAAAGGTTGTAGAAGAAGAGATTTTCTTTATCTCTTCCAGCCGAAAGCAGCCCATATCTCGTTTTTATTTTAAAAGAAGAATAATCATACTCTTACCACATATGTATATCATATTTCCATACTACTTTATGTGGCAGATGAGGTGGACAGCCATATCAATTAAAATTATTTAATATTCTCTTTTATTTTATGATTTATTAACACTTAAAAAAAACTATTAATTAAAATTTCTTTATTAAAATACACTTAATTGATTTAATTGATGTGGCATATGACATGGACATGGCATATCATTTAGTATAGAAATATAGGATAAAAATGTGGTAAATGTAACATTACTATTTTTATGAAATGAAAAGGAGAAAATGAATTTGCTTTTTCAAGATATTAACACGACCAATTGAATTAGCTAAATTTTCCATAATATATTTTTTCTTTTCTGGGTGATAAAATAGAAGCGTTGAGTTATTTTTGTCAGCTTTGTGTTTTGTGTTGGTAAATTAATTTTGTGCATGTGTACAAAAAAAAAAGATGAAAGGAATTTGTATGAGCATCATGTGTAAATTAGAGAGATTAACTATCATGTTTAAAATAAAGGGGAGGTTTATGACAGCATGCAATAGAAATAGTATGTTATTATAAATCAGTAAAGGTTGTAGAAGAAGAGATTTTCTTTATCTCTTCCAGCCGAAAGCAGCCCATATCTCGTTTTTATTTTAAAAGAAGAATAATCATACTCTTACCACATATGTATATCATATTTCCATACTACTTTATGTGGCAGATGAGGTGGACAGCCATATCAATTAAAATTATTTAATATTCTCTTTTATTTTATGATTTATTAACACTTAAAAAAAACTATTAATTAAAATTTCTTTATTAAAATACACTTAATTGATTTAATTGATGTGGCATATGACATGGACATGGCATATCATTTAGTATAGAAATATAGGATAAAAATGTGGTAAATGTAACATTACTATTTTTATGAAATGAAAAGGAGAAAATGAATTTGCTTTTTCAAGATATTAACACGACCAATTGAATTAGCGAAATTTTCCACAATATGTTTTTTCTTTTCTGGTTGATAAAATAGAAGCATTGAGTTATTTTTTAGGACTAACCAGTGACGGTGAAGACTGAATAAAACCGAAAGAGACTGAAAGATGGCAGACCTTCCTACGTCGTCGTTTAAGGCAAACACCGGTAGATGGTTTAGTTGTTTGGGTTCTTCCCATAAGCCTAGATGGTTTAGGTTTAACATGGTTCAGTTGAGAAATTCATGTTTTCCTTAGCATCCAATCTTTTAGGGCCCATTTGAGAATTATTTCAATATTATTTTTTAGTTTTCATTTTGTGTGCTTTAATTGGTGTTGTGAAACAGGATTCAGTGTCTGAACCGCGTATTG